AAAAAAAACACCACTGAATAACGTGATAAAAAAAATTATATATACAGTTGCAAGAAAAAGTATGTGAACCCCTTGGGATTACATGGAGTTTTGTATGAATTGGGCATAAAATGTGCTCTGAACGTCATCTAACTCACAACAATAGAAGAACACAGTCTGCTGAACATAATACTACACAAACATTAGATGTTGCCATGGTTTAAATTGCACATAACATGTAAACATTCACAGTACAGGGAGGAAAAAGTATGTGAGGCCCTAGCTTAATGACTTCTCCCAGAGCTAATTGGAGCTAGGAGTGAGCCAACCTTGACTCCAATCAGTGTGATGATATTGGATGTGTTGCTGACAGCTGTCCTGCCCTTAATAAACACACACCTGTTTTGGGTTTACTGGTTTCAAGAAGCACTGTCTTATGTGAACCATGCCACGCAGAAAAGAGCTCTCAGAAGACCTACGATCAAGAATTGTTGACTTGCATGAAGCTGGAAAGGGTTACAAAAGTATCTCCAAAAGCCTTGATGTTCATGCATCCACGGTAAGACAGACTGTCTACAAATAGAGAAAGTTTAGCACTGTTGCTACTCTCCCTAGGTGTGGTCGTCCTGTAAAAATGACTGCAAGAGCACAGCGCAGAATGCTGCATGAGGTAAAGAAGAATCCAGAGTGTCAGCTAAAGATCTACAGAAATCTCTGTCACATGCTAACATTTTTGTTGACACATCTACAATAAGGAAAAATTTAAACAAGAATGGAGTACATGGGAGGACACCACGGAGGAAGCCATTGCTGTCCAAAAAGAATATTGCAGCACGTTTGAAGTTTGCAAAAGAGTACCTGGATGTTCCACAGCACTACTGGCAGAATATACTGTGGACAGATGAAACCAAGATTGAGTTGTTTGGGAAGAACACACAACACTATGTGTGGAGAAAAAAAGGCACAGTACACCAACATCAAAACCTCATCCCCACTGTAAAACATGGCGGAGGGAGCATCATGGTTTGGGGCTGCTTTGCTGCCTCAGGGCCTGGACGGATTGTTGTCATTGATGGGAAAATGAATTCCAGAGTTTATCAAGACATTTTGCAGGAAAACGTACGACCATCTGTCCGCCAACTGAAGCTCCGCAGAGGATGGGTGATGCAACAGGACAATGACCCAAAGCATACAAGTAATTCAACAAAACAATGGCTGCAACAGCACAGAATACACCTTCTAAAGTGGCCCAGTCAGAGTCCTGACCTCAGCCCAATTGAAATGCTGTGGCATGACCTTAAGAGAGTGATTCACACCAGACATCCCAAGAATATTGCTACACTGAAACAGTTTTGTGAAGAGGAGTGGTCCAAAATTACTCCAGATCGTTGTGCAGGTCTGATCTGCAACTACAGGAAACGTTTGGTTGAGGTTATTGCTGCCAAAGGAGGGTCAACCAGTTATTAAGTCCAAAGGTTCACATACTTTTTCCTCCCTGCACTGTGAATGTTTACATGTTATGTGCAATTAAACCATGGCAACATCTAATGTTTGTGTAGTATTATGTTCAGCAGACTGTGTTCTTCTATTGTTGTGACTTAGATGACGTTCAGAGCACATTTTATGCCCAATTCATGCAAAACTCCATATAATCCCAAGGGGTTCACATACTTTTTCTTGCAACTATACTTGTGTGTGTAATATGAGAGAATATTCAATTAAATTAATAAATAAAATAAAAATCAGTTAGGTGGGTTGCCTACACCATACACATAGTCATACATGTGTGTCATTATAATCAAAAACAAATGCAATCGTGTCGCGCTCCACTAATAAATGTGAAATATACTCAATGGACTATATACATAAACAATATATAATTCAAAATTATTTTCAATTAATTATAAATAACATATGTGAGTCCAACTTTGGTTTTCAGTTTCAGAAGGACTGCAAACTAAAGTTGGACTCACATATGTTATTTATAATCAACTGAAAATTATTTTGAATTATATATTGTTTATGTATACAGTCCGTTGAGTATATTTCACATTTATTAGTGGAGCGCGAAACGTTTGCATTCGTATTATAAAACATGATGTGTAGATTTGAAAAAATTATTTCCGAGCTTTTTTGTATTATTAGTAAATATAGTCCAAGTATCTAAAAAAAGATATTAGTTGTGTAATGGAAGCCAACAGCATTTCTTTTGAGTTAGAAGTCGTATATTGGCCAAATCCACCCTTTTGTGTTCCAGTCTTAGAAAAGCATAAACAACATTTTCAGCATGAAATTATTAAGGTGGTTTGCTCACAGCAATAAACATAATACATAAAATTCCCTTTCCCTTTCCAGCAGATAAATGAATCTTATGCCTGAACCACCCAAAACACTTGCTCTTACTGCCAAAAGGCTGCCACCACGCAGTATTCTCCATAGAGCCAGGTGCTAGGCATCACCAAGGTTTCTGCCTAAAAGGCATTTTACCCTATGAGGTAAGCTGTTTCTCTATAAGGCCATATTGTGTTGTAATGACATGCAGTAAAATGCACATTTCACACATTAAATGAAGTGCATTGAGTTCCATTGCCATTCATTTTGAATGGTACCTTAATGTACCTAGGCAACTCAGCACAATGCCCTTGTATTGCAGCTCACCACGCAGATGTGAACTGACTGAACATTGTCATGCACAATTAAATAAAACATACATTTCCATTTTTCCATGTGTTCAGGTACATTCTCAGACTATTTAAAAAAAAAGTGTATGCCATTAAAAATCAGAACTTGCTATGCTATAGTGAACCTTACCCTTAGAAGCACCCTATAAAATATAACATTTGTCTGTAATTCCCCCTGAAATATACACTATATTGCCAAAGGAATTGGGCCTGCACTCCAAATCATTGGATTAGGGTGTTCCTATCACCTCCATGGCCATAGGTGTATAAAATCAAGCACCTAGGCATGCAGACTGCTTCTAAAAACATTTGTGAAAGAATGGGTCGCTCTCAGGAGCTCAGTGAATTCAAGCGTGGCACTGTGATAGGTTGTCACCTGTGCAATAAGTCCATCTGTGACGTTTCCTGGCTACTAAATATTCCACGCTTAACTGTTAGTGGGATTATAACAAAGTGGAAGCAACTGGGAACAACAGCAACTCAGCCACCAAGTGGTAGACCACGTAAAATAACACGGCAGGGTCAGCGCACATTGCACAGAAGTCGCCAACTGTCTGCAGAGTCAATAGTTAAGACCTCCAAACTTTGTGTGGCCTTCAGATTAGCAAAACAACAGTGCGTAGAGAGCCTCATGGAATCGGTTTCCATGGCTGAGCAGCTACATCCAAGTCTTACATCACCAAGTGCAATGCAAAGCGTCGGATGCAGTGGTATAAAGCACGCCGCCACTGGACTCTAGAGTACTTGAGACGTGTTCTCTTGAGTTACCAATCATGCTTCTCTGACAATTCGATGGACGTGTCTGGGTTTGGCAGTGGCCAGGAGAACGGTACTTGCCTGACTGCATTGTGCCAAGTGTAAAGTTTGGTGGAGGGGGGGATTATGGTGTGGGGTTGTTTCTTGTTAGGGATTGGGCTTGGCCCCTTAGTTCTAATGAAGGGAACTCTTAAGGCATCAGGATACCAAGACATTTTGGACAATTTCATGCTCCCAACTTTGTGGGAACAGTTTGGGGATGACCCCTTCCTGTTTCAACATGACTGCGCACCAGTGCACAAAACAAGGTCTATAAAGACGTGGATTAGTGAGTTTGAGGTAGAGGAACTTGACTGGCCTGTACAGAATCCTGACCTCAAACCGAAAGAACACCTTTGGGATAAATTAGAGCGGAGATTTTGAGCCAGGCCTTCTCGTCCGATATCACTGCCTGACCTCCCAAATGTGCTTCTGGAAGAATGGTCCAACCTTCCCATAGATACCCTCCTAAACCTTGTGAACGGCCTTCCCAGAAGAGTTGAAGCTGTTATATCTGCAAAGTGTGTGCCAACTCAATATTGAACCCTATGGACTAAGACTGGGGTGCCATTAAAATTCATGTGCGTGTAAAAGTAGGCAGCCCAATACTTTTGGCAATATAGTGTAGCAGTGCATTCCTGGTATGTAAGTGTGAATAGACACACCTGTGATTACAGCCTCATAGCTACTATATATTTGCATTGTGAGATATAAGGCACTTTTGCCTCTGACTGCTAGTCTCAGAAGATTTGGAGTGAGTTTTGGTGATGTCACTGCTGTGCTGATCACTGTTCTCCTTGTTGGAGGTTCTTACGTGAGGAAGCAAAGCCCTGCATCTTCCAAGATGGTGGCCTCTACACAGAGACACAGTACAGACCAAGGCATGATAAGTCAGTAATGGCAAAAATGCAGGTTCAGTGATATCACAGGCAATACTATTGACTAGTCCTTTGCTCTCTGCCTGCCATTTTTGGGGGGAACAGCTTCTGGAGATCAATTACTCTGTAAAACCTAATGCAGTTAAAATATATACCGTATTTTTCGCACCATAAGACGCACTTTTTTCCCCCCAAAAAAGGGGGGAAAATGTCAGTGCGTCTTATGGAGCGAATATGGAGCGGACGGTCCGGTATTTCCACTGCCGCCGCAGAATACCGTGTCAGAGATGACTGCTGACCTTTGGGGAGGGGTCGGAGCGGGTACCTGAATTTGAACAGATACCCGCTCCCACTTCCGTGGAGTTGTTCTTTCATCTTACCCGTTCCTCTATCCAGCGGCGCGGTCTTCCCGGCTTCTGTAGTGTGGGCATGACAGCCGGGTGCCAAGTGCGCATGCGCAGGAAGTGGTGCTTTTTGTGAATGGTAAGGCGGCACCTGGTACACATGACAGATCCCAGATCCCAGAAGCCGCCGGACCAATCACAAAGCGCAAGTGCTTCTCGCTCATGCGCACTGGGCACCCGGCTGTCATGCCGAGCGCCATTACAGAAGCCGGGAAAACAGCGTGCGGCTGGATAGAGGAACAGGTAAGATGAAAGAAACAACTCCGCGGAAGTGGGAGCGGGTACCTGTCAAATTCAGTACCGCGCCCCCCCCTCCTCCCCAAAGGTCAGCAGTCATCCCTGTCCACTGGTCATCCCTGTGCTGTCCGCAGTCTCTGGTCATCCCTGTACTGTCCGCATCCCTGTACTGTGTCCGCAGTCTCTGGTCATCCCTGTACTGTGTCCGCAGTCTCTGGTCATCCCTGTACTGTGTCCGCAGTCTCTGGTCATCCCTGTACTGTGTCCGCAGTCTCTGGTCATACTGTACTGTGTCCGCAGTCTCTCCCTGGTCATCCCTGTACTGTGCTGTCCGCAGTCTCTGGTCATCTCCTGTACTGTGTCCGCAGTCTCTGGTCATCTCCTGCACTGTGTCCGCAGTCTCTGTCATCCCTGCACTGTGTCCGCAGTCTCTGGTCATCTCCTGTACTGTGGCCGCAGTCTCTGGTCCCCTGAACAGCAGTCTCTGGTCATCTCCTGTACTGTGTCCGCAGTCTCTGGTCATCCCCTGAACTGTGTCCGCAGTCTCTGGTCATCTCCTGTACTGTGTCTGCAGTCCATTAGTTCAGAATTTTTTTTTCCTGTTTTCTGCCTCTAAAACCTAGGTGCGTCTTATGGTCAGGTGCGTCTTATGGAGCGAAAAATACGGTATATATATATATATATATATACACACACTGTATACACTGCTCAAAAAAATTGAAGGAATGCTTTGAAAACACATCAGATCTGAATGGGAAAAAATCTCATGCTGGATCTCTATACTGATATGGACGGGGTAATGTGTTAGGAACATAAAGATGCCCCATCGTGTGGTGGAAATGAAAGTTATCAACCTACAGAGGACTGAATTCAAGAACACTCCGAAAATCAAAGTGAAAAAATTATGCAGCAGGCGAGTCCATTTTGCTGAAATTTCATTGCAGCAACTCAAAATGGTACCCAGTAGTTTGTATGGCCTCCACGTGCTTGTATGCATGCCTGACAATGTCGGGGGAGGCTCCTAATGAGCATACAAATAGTGTCCTGGGGTATTTCCTCCCAGATCTAGACCAGGGCATCAGTGAGCTCCTGGACAGTCTGATGTGCAAACTAGCAGTGTCGGATGGACCGAGGTGTTCTATTGGATTTAGATCAGGCGAGCCATTCAATGGTATCAATTCCTTCAGCCTCCAGGAACTGCCTGCATACTCTCACAACATGAGGCCGGGCATTGTCATGCACAAGGAGGAACCCAGGACCCACTGCAACAGCATAGGGTATGACAATGGGTCCAAGGATTTCGTCCCAATACTTAATGGCAGTCAGGGTGCCATTGCCCAGCCTGCAGAGGTCTGTGTGTCCCTCCATGGATATGCCTGCCCAGACCATCACTGACCCACCACCAAAACGGTCATGCTGAACCATGTTCTCCAGGGCATCTAATGTTCTCTACAGCTTCTCCAGACCCTTTCACGTCTTTCACATATGGCTCAGGGTGAACCTGCTCTCATCTGTGAAAAGCACAGGGCGCCAGTTGAGGACCTGCCAATTCTGGTGTTCAATGGCAAATCGAGCTCTATGGTGCCAGGCAGTGAGCACAGGGCCCACTAGAGGATGTCGGGCCCTCAAGCCACCTCTCATGAAGCCTGTTTCTGCTTGTTTGGTCAGAGACATTCACACCAGTGGCCTGCTGGAGGTCATTTTGTAGGGCTCTGGCAGTGCTCATCCTGTTCCTCCTTGCACAAAGGAGATAGATACTGGTCCTGCTGATGGGTTAAGGACCTTCCATGGCCCTGTTCAGCTCTCCTAGAGTAACTGCCTGTCTCCTGGAATCTCCTCCATGCTCTTGAGACTGTGCTGGGAGTCACAGCAAACCTGCTGACAACAGTACGTAATTGATGTGCCATCCTGGAGAACTAATGTGCAACCTCTGTAGGGTCCAGGTATCACCTCATGCTACCAGTAGTGACACTGACCCTAGCCAAATGCAAAACTAGTGAAAAACAGTCAGAAAAGATAAGTAGGGAAAAAAAATGTCAGTGGTCTCCCATCTGTAAAACCATTCCTATTTTGGTGGTTCCCCATCTAGTGCATCTGTTGCTAGTTTCATTAACTCCAAAGCAGCTGAAACCAGTTAACAACCCCCTCTGCTACTTAACTGACCAGATCAATATCCCAGGAGTTTAACTGACTTGATGCTATACTCTGATTAAAAAGGGTGACTTTAATTGTTTAGAGCAGTGTATATATATATATATATATATATATATATATATATATATATATACACACATATATATATATATATATATTTATATATATGACCCCACCCTTCCCATGCTTGTACATACAGGATCAGTTAACGGTCTTTACTGTAATTCACAGTCCCTCAGTCTTACCCTTGTCAGTTTTGGTTGTGAAGACTGGTTTACTAAAGCCACTCTTTTCTGAGAGGTCTTCTTGCCAACCCCTCTGTCATATTCATCAGGTATGTAGCACTACTCCCATAGGAGCTGCAAGAATAGTATCCAGGTCCTCACCAGTTACTTTGCCCTGCAGCCAGGCACATAGGCTCATTCACACGCTTCTCCAATAACCAGTCTAGGGGTGTTGTTTTTATTTTTGGAGAACTTGGATAGGGACGAAGATGAGTGAGGTACACCAAAAATAGGAACTTTGTACATTGATTCAGGCACATACTCTGACATAGCTTGCCCTGAAGATTAGATAAATTCCTCAATCAGTGGACTTCAGCTTTAAGACATGAGTAAAAAGTAGTAGTAATATTAGTTGTAGTAGTAGTAGTAGTCACTTCTTTAGAGCCCCAGAGCAGTGTCCCTTTGAAAGTAGGCAAGGTGGACAAAACTCTTCGGAGCACCAACCAGTGTTCCCTCTGCTAGACCTGCAGCTGACTTCCTAGCACCAGAGGGGGCTAACACACAGGGCCGGGACAAGGGGTGGGCAGGAGGGGGTGGCTGCCCTGGGCACTGTGAGGTTAGGGGGCACCACAAGGAGATTGGAGGGAGGGGGATTTGTGTTGGAAAGGGGAATTTAGAGGGTGGCAGGGGGAAGAATTGTTCTAGGAGGGAAAATAGTAATCTAATTACCAAGAGAAGCTTTCCTCTGTGATACCAGACCAGATCTTCAGTAGACGCCCCTCAGTCAGCATTTCAGAACCTAGGTCTCAGCATTCAGTCCATCAGGTCACCCACCTGAGGCCACATGGCAGTATCTGCATGGGAGAGCAATGTGCCTTCTCCCAAGCTGGATCAGTCCTGGATAGGAAAGAACCCAGAGCCCCGTGTGCTCACTGAATATATACAGTTACTCAGATTGCCATAGATCCCCTCTCTCTGGGATAGGCTGTGGCTGTATCAAAATCCATGCTGTCATCTGCACAACTCCACACCTATCATCCAGAAACTTCTTTAGTTTCCTGGATGCAGAGAAAGCTAGGTAAACTAGCAGTACCTGAGCACACAGAGCAGACCTAACTAAATGATCACAGCTCATCAAGTACAGTATGCTATGCTAACTATGCTTTTACCTCACAAATAATTATAGCCTCTCTGATTACAGATTGTCAACTGAATTTACCTGTCAAACACAACTAATTCTATATAATCCTAGCACCTACCTAACAGGGTGCTAAAGATACACTGCAGGACCAGCAGCCCCTAAAGATCCTGCATTGAACTTAATGGCACAAGAATGTCTGTCCATATTCTGGTGCTGGAGAGAGAAGAGAATCAGAGCTGTCGTCGGATCATCCCCCGCAAAACTAGCATTATATTCTTCATCAGCTGTTGGAGGTTGAAAATTTAATTATTTCAGTGCATTTTTAAAACAAAAATTCCATATTAAAAAAAAAAAAAGTAAAAAATCCAGCTTTACAACCCCCTACCTCCCCTCTAAAAAACGGCCCTCCCAGCAGTTCTTATTAATTCAATTATATATATATATATATATATATATATATATATATAAATAATCATTTTATTTTTCTTTATGCATATATTTTTTTGATGTCTTCATACCAGTCACATGTTGCAATCGTACAGGGGCGGACTGACCAATTGGAAACTCGGGCACAGCCCGAGGGCCGGGGGTCAGTAGGGGGCCCCATGAGATGCCCTTGGTACCTTTTTCATTGGCTTTTTTGAGTTTGGGCAAGAACACAGGGGCCCAATGATCCCCTATTGCCCGGGGGCCCCATGAGATGCCCCTGGTACCTTTTTCGGATCCACACAAAAATCTGTGCAACCGCACCACCCGCACAGAGGAATGTGAACCCGCAGGCGGGTGCCATTAATTCTAATGGCACGCCGCCTGCACTGGAGATCGCAACCATACTAGGAACCAAGGTTCCCGTGCGGGCTGCGTCTTCAGAAGACTTCTTCCCTGCATGTCCCGGGGCACAGGAGTCCATTCAAATGAATGGGCTCTCGTGTGCGCGCGAAACGCGGCCTGCAGGAACGCAGATATGTGAACCAGGGGTTAAGGTTGTTTCACCCAATATGAACCAATAATATTATTCTTTTTTCTCTTATTCAATGTGTTTAATTTCTTGTTTCCATAAAAAGAATAAATTTTTCTACCACCTGGATTATTAAACATGACCAGGGGCGGACTGACCATTTGGAAACTCGGGCACTGCCTGAGGGCCCAGGGTCAGTAGGGGGCCCCATGAGATGCCCCTGGTACCTTTTTCATAGGCTTTTTTGAGTGTGGGCGAGGACACAGGGGCCCCATGATCCCCTATTGCCCGGGGGCCCCATGAGTTGTCAGTCCACCCCTGCATTCGTACCTCCTTCTCCTACTGTGGACTTGAACATGAAGGCCCTGATAGATCAAGTATCATGGTGAGTAATGTTTACCCAAATTTCTTTTTTTTAATATTGGGAGGGGGGTAGGCCATAAAAAAAAATGAAACTGGACGCACAGACAGCTGTAAAGAGTTGACAGATTTTCTAAGACTTCCTTACTATTTAAAAAACAAAACCATTTCAATCACCCACCTCCCCTCCAAAAGGCCCTCCTGGCATTTATTATTAATTAATTTTAAGTTTTTATTATTCATTAATTTTTTTAATACTTATATGTTTTTTTCTGATATCTTCAGTACATGGAGGCCGCACTGGATCATGACCATGGAGGCCGCACTGGATCATGATGAGTACAGTTTATCCAATTATTTTGCTTCTTTTTCTATACTGGAGTGGGTGTGTAAGGGAATTCCCATAAGACGGCTGGTGAATAGACGTGCGCATATACACAGAAATGCACAATCACGCACGTGCACATGCATGGTGAAGATTGGCGCCAGACGGACTATTTAAAAGTGTGCCTCTGCCTGTGCTGAGTGCTGACCGGTCTTCAGCTGTTCCCCGTTTCCTGCTTGTTCCTGTGTGATTTCCTTGTTCCTGACCTAACTCTGATTACTCTCCTGCTTGATACTTGTTTCTGACTTCGGCTCTGCTCCTGACTTTGGTTTGCTTATGATTTGGTACCTCGCTGTCCGCCTGTTGATGACCCTGGCTATTCCTTTGACATTGCTCCAGTCTCCCGTACCTGCTTCCTGCCTTGCTCTGGTGCACACCTGGCGACCTACCATACCAGCTCTGCATATCACTACTGATCCTGAGTCGGAGGTTCATCAGTCTTCCAAAGTCTCCAACTGCAAGATCTGCTGGCGCTCTTGTCCCCCTGGTCCCTAGACACCCTCTGTTCCACTTCCAGTGGGGTCAGGGCTAGTGACACAAGTGAGGCCGACCTCGTCATTTCAGTCTCCAATCAGGTACGTGACAGGGTGGAAAGACCATAAAAAACTGAAACTGGACATACAGACAGCTGTAAAAAGTTGTCAAGAGGTTCAAAGCCTTTCTCCCTAACGAAAACACACCAAAAATTGCTGGTTTAAACATATCATTACATTCTTTCGAAACTAGCTATTTGCTGTAATAAACATCTGTCTTTGGCCATTAACTAATAATTATACCTTTTATTCCACTTTCTATTTTCTTACACAATAAATAAACTGCAAACGACTCCATAGCACACGTCCAAACTGACAGCAGGCCCCAATGTAACAGCTAATACAATTTCCCCAAGTGGCATGTCTCCCCAGTCCTGCAAGAATTCCTGAGCAGCTTGTCAAAGATTCTGACCATAAAAATAGTGTCAGGAAGCTATTAATACGGTTACCAATAAAATTTACGACGATTCCCTCTCTTTATTAAATTACTTTCTTGAATACTGACAGCATGTAGGAGGCAGATGAATAAGGAAATAATTATATTACAAGTTTTATCTGTACATATTTTTTTCCCTTTATTAAAATAGGCTTGTTCTCTGCCTGGCCCGGTGGTTAAGCTGTCAGAGAAAATTCATGTGTTCGAGATGGTACATTGGAAGAATGCACAAAGAAATATCCCCGCTTATTATACAGATTGTGTTTATAGAAGCAGCAAAGGAACTTGCTTACAGCCGCTAATCAGCGGCGACACTAATACACACCAATGCAAATTTGTTATTCCTTCTGTATACAGAAAGGGAACATCACTTTCTTCAGCAGTGACAAGGAACATTTTCTATGGAAAAACTAAAATACTAGAGATGCTTCTAGAGGTTGATGAAGCTGTAAGGTGGTTTGTGGTCATAGTTCTGCCATTCAGGAACATGCCTTTACTTGGTCAAAGAAAGCATTGGCAGCCGCTAAAAAGTGATAAACATCCAAAGGGCCCGTGCTTAGGTCATCACTGCATTTAGAAAAAATCATGAGGAAGGCCGCAAAATACGTGCGTTTCCTAACCCCAGAAACCACTAAACAGCTCATCCACTCCCTCATCATATCACGAGTCGACTACTGCAACTCCCTCCTCACTGGCCTGCCTCGCCGCTGGCTGTCCCCGCTTCAGTCGATCCTGAATACGGCTGCCAGACTCATTCACCTTTCCAACCGTTCCGTTTCCGCCACCCCCCCACTGCCAATCCCTCCACTGGCTTCCGATTGCGCAACGGATCAAATTCAAAATCCTAACACTGACGTACAAAGCTTGTCCACCATACTGCCCCGAACTACATCACTGACCTAATATCCAAGTACCGCCCAACAAGCACACTCCGCTCCTCACAAGACCTCCTTCTCTCTAGTTCCCTGGTCTCCTCCTCCCATGCCCGCCTCCAGGACTTCTCCAGTGTGTCACCCATCCTCTGGAACTCCCTGCCCCAACCCATCAGATTATCACCTACCCTCCTCTCCTTTAGGCGCACCCTGAAAACCCATCTCTTCAGGGAAGCCTACCCCACCCCCTGCTAACCTGCCGACCTCCTCCACTCTTCCTACCACTCCATCCCCCACAGCTATCTCCTCCTGTGCCACCATCCCCTCCCTCCTAGATTGTAAGCTCGAAAGAGCAGGGCCCTCAATCCCCTCATGTTTTGCATTGTATTGGTATTGTTCTGTCACATGTTCTGTCCCCCTTTGTAATGTACAGCGCTGAGCGAACTATTGGCGCTTTATAAATACTGTATAATAATAATAATAATACTGTATGAAGAGCGTAGGATTCCGTGTGGCACTGAGGGCAAGGCTTCCAAATAAGCTGTAGCAACTTCTGTAGATGAGAAAAGGAGAGAAGCGCCTCTAAGTGCAATAAGTCTTTTAATTCAAGTCTAAATGTAGAAACACTCACATGTGTGAAGTAATCATAAGCTTAAAAACTGTGGTTAACAATATGGTAAATAGGATAAAAACGAGCGCTGGATCTGAAAGATTCAAGCCGCTAGCATAAAGGTAAACCTCGTATAACCTCTTCATAGAAAATAAAATAAAGCAAAAAAATGCAGCGCTTGAGTGTATAGTAAGGAGAATGTACATATGCACAACAGAAATAGAAGGAAATACATTAGAGGTATGCCATGCACCAGGTTTAACGTACATAAATTAATGTAAACAGTGGTTGGGTAAGTAATAAAGATTCATCCAACCAATCGAAGTGCATATAGTGATAGGGATGATAGAGTCATTAGATCTAGGGGTACATCGAGTGCCAATCAAATCCGTGACTTCTGTGATAGGAGATTAGCTGTAAAATGCACTAACCAGATAGCGCAAGCCAAAGCGCATTGGAGTATAATGACCTACTCCTGGTCACAGCCAAATGGTCATCAGCGTAGAGCCCTCAGGAACAACTGTGCATCACTCTTGCCGTCTCCTCCACCAGGGGGAGTCTTGCCGTCTCCTACCATCAGGGGGAGTCTTGCCGTCTCCTACCACCAGGGGGAGTGTGCCTCTTTACAGTAACACGAATTTGCCTTATATCATCTATCGCCAGGGGTGGTGTGCTTTCATATCAGGAGACCAGCTTAGGGACTCTGCAATAAAACCCAAAAGAGAGAAATCTTGATAGTGTAGTATTTTTATTCAAGAGATTGGTAAAAACAGGTAGCACACTTACATAGTAATATCCAAAGAAGCTGATTCACAGAATCCAAAAAGATGGCCGACAGTCAGATGCATGGACCATGTAGGTAACAAGTGGTATGAGAGGTATCCTTAATCCTAACGCGTTTCGTGGCAAGAGCACATTATCAAAGGGACATTGATAATGTCGTGCTTGAAAAAGGAGCGCACTCTGCCTTTCAGGGCCGGTGCATGCTCCGAAACGCGTCGCAGTGCACCCTGGGATCTGACGTCATCACGGCCACACCGCCGCTACTTTCCAGCGTGTGTTCCATCTGGCTCTGAGGGAGGACGTGCACGCCGGCCGGCCTCACTGCTGTTCACCTCCAGCCACCACACTGTTCCAGCCGAGAGCTGACCTCCCCACATCGCAGTAGAGATGACGGCTCTTCACCCGGGATACCACCCCACCATTAACTATTGTTAACCACGGTTTTTAAGCTTATGATTACTTCACACATGTGAGTGTTTCTACATTTAGACTTGTATAAAAAGACTTATTGCACTTAGAGGTGCTTCTCTCCTTTTCTCATCTGGATTTAGAGACTTTCACATTATTTTTATTTTATTGCTAGGCATTTGTTAGACATGTGCAGGCCAAAAATTGTTGTTTGGACTTTGTATGCATTCGTTCATTGAAGAATTTTGTTTCGCCTTATTTGTTATGTTGAAACTGATTTGTTTTCGGAATCTGTTTTGTATCTTCAGCATTCGTTTTGCATGTTCGTTGATCTGGGTGGATTAGAAAAATGTTGCAGTTTTTCCAGAAGAATGCTATGAATGTGATATATTGTTGAATCGGAAATCGGAATGATTCAATATTTTCAGATGCTTGTCCAACACACAGAGAAATAGTATGAGCTGATTGGACAATATCAACTGGCGTCATGTGCATCCAAATTAGAAAATGGAATGCAATTCTGATCTGTTTGTTATCCAAATCCGAATTATCGAACAAATTAAAAAAATGTAATTCTTTTTCCCATGGACCTGAACTACAATTGCATCATGTGACATCATCCAAATGAAATGAATGCATTTATTAATTTTGGTAAAACTTTTTTTTTTGATTCATTGACATTCATTACTACAGCTGAAACTCGAAAAATTAGAATATCGTGCAAAAGTTCATTTATTTCAGTGCAGCAACTTAAAAGCTGAAACTAATATATGAGATAGACTCATTACATGCAAAGCAAGATAGTTCAAGCCGTGATTTGTCATCATTGTGATGATTATGCCTTACAGCTCATGAAAACCCCAAATCCACAATCTCAGAAAATTAGAATATTACATGCAATCAATAAAACAAG